GATTGGCGGAGGTAGGGTTACCACTAACTCGTCGATGCAATTAACGGCATATGGGTTCCTTTAATCACTACAAATTCCAAGTAGGCCTCTAGTCACGTAACACGTTCAAAACAGAAAAATAAATTTGAGGCGGTCTAGACTATACTCTAATATTCAATAGTAAATTCAAAATGGCGCGTACAATTAACACAAGCCTTAGGCATTCAAGTCAACACCTGCCGTGCGTAACCGTATGACAGTCACAAACAATACTTAAAACGGTTGCAACAAAATTTATATAATATGGCCTCGTTATCACGGAAACTTACAAATATAACACAAGGAGGCTCTCAACGTATAATCGACCCGGGCTTCGCGCAAATAAACTCAAGAAATAAGCCTCGTAATCACGGATAAGTACAAATATAAGATAATACCAGGAGGACGCCTGTTCGGCGCAAAATTATGTCAAACTCGCGACTCGTAAATCGACCCGGGAGATTACCTGTACCTGAGTAACGCTGACGTTCAACTGGCGCGGTTTCACCGATCTAGGATTTCGGCCAACTGCCCCGCTTGCTCTACTTGTAGCCTCCTCTGCCGCACTACGCTAACCGTTTCCTCACCCCACTCGAGGCAATCGGGCGTAAACAGGTATAATAATAATTTTCAAACTCGGTCAAGTAATTTTCGAGATTAGCCAAAAAAACATATACTTTGAAAGTAGCGCTCTCTATAATAAAATGCATCCTATATTAAACATCTATAATTATACATAACAATCTAGTGGTGAAAGAATTTTCATAATCGGTCAAGTACTTTACGAGTTTAGCGAAAAAAACATATTCGTTGATGCCCTCTATAATAAAATGCATCGTAAGTTTTTAAGCACCATAGCAAAAAACGATTCAGTTTAGCCACCCACACACACAGTAAAAACATAACCATCCTTTTTCGTCTGTAGTCGGATAAAAAAGTCAATAAGTGGTTGAAAACGGTTGCGTATCGGCTGCATTGGATAAATATCCATTGTAAACGGTTGCTTTATACTTAAGTCATAACATAATAATAATTATCGAAAAATTATATTAGCATTGTAATAATGACACAATAAGTAATCGATTGAAAAAAAGGAAATCGATTTTTTAACTTGATTTGTGATTGGCAACATTTTTTATTTTATTCACTGACTAATGAATTTCGTATTTACCTAATTTTATTTTTATCTTCTCGGAACTTTTTTTGTGTAAAAATGTTCCCATCTTTTTAGGATAAATGAATACTGCGATTAATAACCATAAATATAGATATGTTTTTTAACAAATGCAAATTGTTTGGCATTCCATGGCCGAAAATGGGCCGAAAATCCTCCTTTCAGACGATTTGCAAAAAAAAAATAGATACCGATAGCGCAAAATATTTCCATTCTACTTGTTTCTTTTGACTTGACTATTAACTTGTTTCTAAACAATGCATCTGCATCCTCTGCAATGCATCATCTATAAGAATGTATCTAACATGTCAATAAAAATTATAATAAACTATGTACCCCGATAAAATTAAACATAAAAGCTATCATTGTTATTTATGAAATCGCTTTTGGAGTTGTTACTCACATAATATTATTATTCTGTGGAGAAATTCATAAATGACAATAACCTAATTAATAATAAATTATATTTTAGAATTGCAAGTCAGCTACCAATGTTAAAGGAAGTAATTTTGAGTATTATTTTATACAAAATTGACAATAATACAGAAATAAATGAGTGAAAACAATTTCTGTAACATTTATAATTGATATTACATAATGATTAAAAAATTAATAACTTTGTTAAATATTTGACATTGAGCTATAATAGTAATCTTACATTGGCATTTCCTCTGACATTGTTAATTAGTTATAAAATCATTGGAAATGAAATAATTTATATGTTCTTAAAAATTCGATAAATACTATTATGGTTACTTGCCCAAAATATTAATGTTTCCCGTAATATATTTTATTTATTTGTTTTATTTTTCGCTATTGAATAATTCAATATTTCTGAAATGACTTACTTTATGTAACATGTTATACTGTGAGAGCAATATATTAGTTTTATTTTAAATGTGCAAAGTGCACTATTTGTTTGTAAAATTTGTCAACGGTAGCACTTCATTGTGCTCTATTCTTATTAGGTTTCTACATTTCATTGCAATTATGTATATTTATATGGTTGTTCATCATAACACTACGTTAGTATTTTGAATTTTTCCAACTTTGTAAATGAATCATGAAAGAGTGTCTCTAAATGCGTAATACCTTATAGAAGTATATTAAAAACAAAGTATATTAAATTTTTTAACATTGAGTTGCACATTAAAACACCAACAAGACAATTGTCATGTCTAGATCAATTAGCAAGCAACATCAAGCAAGATAAAGCCGAGGTACATCACCTGGCCTTATCTGATCACGAAACGGGACAAACACTTTCGCTCAAAACGACTAAATCGTATGAAATATGCAGTTGGTATGAGGATGTCAGAGATTATAGTAAAGAAAACATGGACAAGTTCTGTAGCTGCATATCGTCTCTTACTATCTCAACTGAATACGAAAAAAATAACTTACAAGAGGCATTTGTTGAATTTCATGATTAATTTTAACTATTTTTTGATCTTTGCTTCCCAATGCATACAATAAAAAGGGCAACTAAAAAAAGGGAACCGTAAATAGTTGACGAAGGGCGTTAGAAAAATAGAAAATCCATGTATAATGAAAAGATATCTCTACCTTAGTCAACAATATAATAAAATAAACGGAAAAATACTCAATAAAAAATATAAATCATATAGTTCCATACTTAAAAACTGTGTATATAAATCGCGACAGATACAAAGTAAGAAATATATTGACAATAATAAAAATAAATGTAAAGCCACATGGGCGGTTATTAATGAAAATATTGACGACCAAAATATGAAAACACAAATTGACAGAATAATAAAAAATAATCGGATATATGACGACCCAAAGAAAATAAGTGACATATTTAATCACTTTTATATAAATTTGACAAATAACAATAATTTCAAATATAATGTTGACGAAATAAACAAAACTGTCACGACTTGTAATAATATACATACAATATTCCTTAAACCTACTGATGCTTTGGAAATATTTCGGATAATTAAAATTCTTAATAATACGAACGCAGTAGGATTTGATAACATAACAACAACTGCAATAAAATTATCCACACCTTACATATGTCAACCGCTATGTTATTTAATTAATATGTCTTTTGAAGAAGGTACCTTCCCAAATATATTGAAAAAATCAATCGTTAAGCCACTTTTTAAGAAAGGCGAAAAATACGAAATGAATAATTATAGGCCAGTGACGCGAATACTCATATTGTCAAAAATATTCGAGAAGATTATGCTGAGAAGGCTTCAAGAATTTACGACAAGTCATCGTTTACTTAAAGAGAAGCAATTTGGATTTAAACAGAATAGTACAACCTCGTTAGCATGTTTTAATTTGATTAAAATAGTCACCCAGGCTATAAATGATGGCCTTGCAGTTGCGGCAATCTTCCTGGACATCAGCAAGGCGTTTGATTTCGTTTACCATATATTGCTCTTACACAAATTAGAAAAATATGGGATAAGAGGTAAAGCTAACGACTGGTTGAGAAACTATTTATGTGAGAGACAACAATGTGTGGAAATATCTAAAGTCAATAAAGACAAAAAGTGTTATACAGAAGCGACAATCAGATAAATGATTTTGGTGTGCCACAAGGCAGTGTATTGGCATCATTCTTATTCCTCATGTATATTAATGATCTCCCTAGTATCACTCGCCATAACACAATCTTGTTTGCTGATGACACAACCCTTATCGTGAAATGCGAAAATGCAGATACATACGAAATAGAGATAAATAAAGCAATCAAAAACATAATAAACTGGCTTTATTGTAATAATTTACAAATTAATATGGAAAAAACTAAAATGATCCAATTTCAGACATATCAGAGAAAACTATTGAATATTAATGCTAAATTTCTGGGTATAATATTGGATCAAAATTGCGACTGGAAAACACATGTCGATTACGTTTGTCACAAACTCGACAGATTTGTCTATGCAATAAAAAGATTACGAGTCACGGTATTAACTGATGCTGCTCTACGTGCATATCACGGATATGTTTCGTCGGTACTATCATATGGTCTTTTATTGTGGGGCAATTCAGTAGATGTTAATATAAAAGTATTTAGAGTACAAAACAAATGTGTGCGTGCAATCTATGGAGCAGGGTATACGGATAGCTGTAAGCCCTTCTTTATAAAGTACGAGATCTTGACATTAATATGCTTGTACATAAAATAAATATGCATATTTGTAAAACAACATCCTGAATACTTTGAAAGGGATATAGATGTAACTGAACGAAATGTAGCTCCTAGAAATAAACATAAATTATACTTACCTCAATGCAGGCTCAAATTGTATGTAAGTAACTCTTACGTAAATGCTACGAAGGTGTATAACAAAATACCCAACGATTTAACCATTTTAAAAGAAAGTTGATACAATGGTTAAAAGAAAAATGTTTTTACGATCTAAATGAATTTATGTCTTTTTATGGAAAATAAATCCGAAGTAGTAATATTGATATATTATTTTTTTATAAAAAAAAACTAAAAGTATGGACATTAACAATTAAGAACAATCATTACACAATGTGACATTTTAATTTAATTCCCACTTGTTTTTAATTTTTTTTTGCATGTATCCTCCTCAGTCCTGAGGTATTGTTTTGATAGATATTGATACAATTTTTGATAGGCATACTTAGAAATACATTTTAAAGGACAAAAATATGCTTTATATTTTTTCTATTTATATATTTGTTTTATTACGTGTCCCCTAGAGGGGACTTTCGGTTTGATTGTTATGAAAAAGATATAAATAAAACCTTATACCTCAGTGAAAGAAAGAAGTATTTATTCAAATAAAAATTAATTTTGTTCGTGATATTGTTTGTAACAATTCCGCCCTGCGACTAAACATAGATGCATGTCGCAAGTTGAGCAGTATAACCTTGCTTTCTTGCTCTTGCAACCAGGCAAGCGGCATCTGTGATCACCTGACTCGTTATCAATAATTGGTAAATGATCTGCCATGGCTGTTCTCAGCAGCAATGGGGGTTGAGGAACATATTTCCTCTTGCGGCTAGTTTGACTAGCTTCTGATGGCACATCATCAACTTCCTCGTACAGGTGTACTTGCTGTCTTGCTGGAGTGAAATAGAGCAAAGAATTTGCTATTTCAGCTTTGAACTCCAAATAATCCAGAGTGTCGTTTTTAGGAGTATCCAACATTTGGGCTTCTTTCCGGTATACCAACCATCCTGCAGCTGCCGCAAAGTCGAATAAATGGAATATCAATCGAACCGTCCATTTTTTTTGAGCGTGCGCTTATTCTATAAAAGCTAATATGTAGTATGTATATCCAGCATGTCCACTCCTTCCATATTTTCGTTATATTTCTGAATAGCATAAGGCCTATTATTCTCGATGTATTGCTTCGTCTTCTTACACCAGCGTCGGCATTTGTTTTCAGGTTACTTTGAATCTGCAGATGATGCCATAACTACAGGTTTGTTGTCAAACCACTTCAAACAAGCCATTAGGCCAACATTCCTTACTAATTGGTCAGAAGAAACTCGTACCTGATCTTTTAACTGCTTATCAGTTTTAAAATTGCGTGCTTTAGGGATTTTTGACTTCTTGAGAGTGCGCGTTCCTTGCATTTTTTTTCTCTGTGTATGGTTTGTCTAACAGCTCAATTGATGTAAAATATCTATCCATGTATAGCTTGGAATCCTCAGGTAAATTATTAGCCAGACTCATTACGACTTTCCCACCAATATCCAGACCTTAAGTTTCATCAGTCGGTAGTATGATATCACCCTTGCCCTCATACAAGAAAAAATCTAAAGGTATACAATCCGGTCTGGCACAAACGTAATTCTTCAGCTCACATGAGTTTGGTTTTCCTCTAATAAACTGCCGCATTTATACTTGATCCCAAAATGGTATTATTTTTTCATCAACGTTGACTTCCTGAAGTCGGGGATTTTCTAGGCAAACTTTTCGTACCCTTTTAATTAGAGGTTGAACTTCCAAAACTTATTTTATTTGGAAGCCGTATCTACATCGAGATCATTCACTAGTTTCAAGTTAGTCTTTATCCGCAAAAAACGATCTCTAGTCATACGATCAGCTATCATTGGGATCTTAGTTTTATTCATCCAATACATTTTAATTCTTGGCAAACCCAAATAGCTAATGGCGATACAAATGCCAAAAAAAGATTTTCATTTTATCTTTTGTTGTGCCTAAATTCTTCCCTGTTTTATAATAAGTTTGATTTGAAAAGGAGCTGAATATTTCGAATATTTTTTCAGGAATGTATCTGATAAAATATTCAAACGGTGTTTTTGTAATACTCTAACGTGACTGGATACTAGAGGAAGACGATAAACTCTGGGTGGAGATGGTGCGAAGTCGTCTAGGTGCTTCTAATAAATCCGACGAATAATCTGACGACGCAAAAAATGTGGAAAGTGGTACTTCATCATCACTTGAATACTCACTAGAGCTTTCTCCACCTTCTCGGAGAAGTTTCTGCATGAGCAGTAAGAGAGATCGAGTCATCCTCATTGGAAATAGCTTCGATGATTGAGTCTTCATCTCTCAGCTCTAAAGCCGACTGTATCTGTTCTGAAGATAAGCCTAGAAAATAATAAGAAACTTTTAACTACAATGTATTTATTAAATACATATGTAAAGGCCAAAACCGAAAGTCTCTATACGGGACATCCACAAGCGAGCAATCTGTACGGTCATATCATTTATCGAAATGCGAAAAAAAAGTTTTCACAATATGTCAAGTAACCTCATTATCACAATACAAAGCAATGTCAAAAGAAACGTGCGCTATTCTAATAAAAAACAGTTTAAAATTTACCCGGTAGTCATTTTTTGGAGTTTGGATTTCAATGGAAATAACAACTTTCCTGCTTATAGTGGGCCTAAAGTAAATTTTGTAAAAAAGTGCCATTATATTTTTTTGTTGGGAGCCAAAATTTGCTTCCTTAACTCGTTTTCAATTTTTTGCCATTTTATAAAATATTTGCACACCATATAAATTGGTGGGATATTATACATAATTTAAGATCATACTTTATTGTACACATACATTCTGGCAAATAAATGAATGAATTTGAATTTGAATGGTACATAAATTTGACTGACACTTGGCGCCTGCGCGGAGTGTCTTGCATCCGCTACGTAACCTGGCTAGTTGCTCGTTACAATATAGGTAAGGTGTATATATATACTCCCAGATTAGATATAAATATTTGTAAGCCATACAAGTTCCTCCGTTACGCCCCGTGCGCGATTGGAACTCGTGACCCTATATTTTATTTTGTTACGATACGGCTCATCTAAATGTTTTTTTTTTTTTGTTTTAAGACATCACTTCAAACATTTATTTCGGTGTAACTTATTCTAAAGTTCGTACAATAAAATTTTCGTATGGAAGTTATTATTTTATGATTTAGAGTTTCACTAGCTTAAAATATTTCCGTTCAATTAAAACCACGCCGCTGAATTTTCAAGAGTTTTAAATTTAAAATTACTTAAGTACTAAAAATTAAGCATAAACTTGTTCAAGTTTAAAGATCAAGCCAACATTTAATTAGAAACAAAATTATTTCGATTGGTTATAACTATCTACCGAACTTTTTGAGTTTAAATAATACATTTTTACGAGTTTCCTTTCCATCGAGTAAATCTATAATTATTTTGAAATTCCTTTTCGTTAGCTTCGTGGAATTGATGGTCACGGGGATTAGTACAAAATCAATTAGTTAAAGTTTAACAAAATTCATGTGTAATGTCCGTTTAATACCTATGCCAGCAACTGTTGACGAGTAAGTTTTATAATTCCAACTACAACCAAGAGGTCAATAGAAGGATCCAACTCGGTTGGGAAGCATATGTTAGAATACAATACGTCATAATGGTTTCTTATATTTAGGTGATTTTATCGCGTATATTAACTTTTATAATATTTCCAACGTTTCAAGCATTTTACGACACCCAATGTCAAGGAGGGTGCTACAATCTGCGTGGGATTCTATTATAAAAAAATCCCAAACCAAGCATACAACTGCAAAACATCAATATAATATAAGTTCATACTGTGAAAATCGGAACAATAATTAATCATTTTAATTTGTAGGTAGCCATGGTTTACTATTACATTGGGACGTTGAACACCTCAGTGTATGAATATAAGTATCTGATAACTTTGATTCCAGTACACACTTTAACTTACCGTTGTATTTATGTTTTAAACACATATCAATTGCCTCGTTACCAATAAAAATCAGCTTATTGTCACCCACCACATGAAACAGCAGCATTGTACTGCTTTTTATGCTCGTATTTTAAGCAAGCGTAGGTATAGTCCGTCCTCGATCGAGCCGATGCATTTGCGCTGCGAATATAATATGTGGTAGCATAGACAGAGTACCAGTTTCTGGAATAATGCTGAACGTTTAAAAAAACTACAATCTCTACAAGACTCCATAAATTTCATCTCTTACATAGGTCAAACAAAAAGATCTATAAAAACCCGCGTGAAGGAACATATAGCTGACGTGAAGCACCGACGCTCCGGGAAGTCACCGAACATATTCAAGATCGTCCCCACCATTACATTAGATTTGATAAACCACAAATCGTCGCAAAAGAACACCGATTCCTACCAAGGATGATATGCGAGGCTATTGAAATTAAAAAAACATCAAAATTTCAATAGAGAAGATGGATGGGTGCTGCTAGCTGCTTGGGATCCTATAATTTACAAAATTAAACCCAAACCCAACCAACCATACCACTGCAAGACTTCATGATACTGTAAGCTCATTTTGCGTTAATCGGACCCAAAAAATTAATATTCAAAAACTAAGGCAAATATGACATTGAGACGTCAAACATCTCAGTCCCCCCGTGACCACGGGTGCTATAAAGCACCCAAAACGTCGGGATAATAAAAATAAATTAATTCATTTGTGTTTTAGGTACCTAGTTTTAGTTTTTGCGCGAGTGTGTTTTAGTTTGTAATTATGTCCTACACAAATGTGCAGTGGACCGAAATGGTACGGCTTTATGCCGCAGCTGGTGATAACGTGAACGAGGCTCGACGAATGTACGCAGAATTATTCCCTGAACAACCTGTGTCAAATCGCGAAACTTTGTTGGCGGCCACGCAAAGGTTACGTATTGCCTTCTACGGACAATTTACAGTGCAGGCTCATGCTCAGGGACGTGGCAACCAGCAGCTGCCAGTTACCCTTCGAGAACGTATCTTGGATTTTTTCACGGAGAACCCAGAGGAGAGTACCAGGCGGGCGGCGTTTATTTTCGGTGTTTCCCACTGGACAATTTCGAAAATTCTACACATTGATCGTCAACATCTGTATTATTTTCAGCCGGTTCAATAATTAAATGAAAATGACCACATATCGCGGACGGTATTTTCGCATAGGCTGATGCAAAATTTTGATAATGTTTCCATTTTATTTACTGACGAAGCATTGTTTACAAGGTCGAACATTTATAATTTTCGTAATGAACATTACTGGAATCGGGTAAACGAAACGAACACCGAATACGGCGAAACAGTTATCAGCACCGTTTTTCAGTAAACGTGTGGGCGGGAATTCTAGATGGCAAACTTTTTGGACCCTATTTTATTGACGGCCATTTGAATGCACAGTCGTACATGGCTATTTTACGACATGTATTCGACAGGATATTGGAAAATATGCCTCTTCGTTCTCTGAGAAACCTCTACTACCAACATGACAGTGTCCCTGCACATCTTCAACTGCAAATCAGGGCTATGCTGCATGGGAAGTTTCCTGGGCGATGGTTAGGACGTGGAGGGCCAGTGGCGTGGTCAGTGCGTTCGTCAGATCTTACCCCACTGGACTTTTATCTTTGGGAAGTATGCAACTAAGTTCCGTAATATGTCGGAACTCAAAAGGCGAATTCTTAGTGTGTTTAGAGACTTAAGAAATGACACCGTTGTGCTTCCAAGAGTGCGAAACAATCTACGAAAACGTGCGGAGGCATGCGTGGCCGTAAATGGATCCTATTATGCACAGCTTTTACAATTAATGTAAAAGCTGATCAAAATGGGATTCATTTACGACGATTATGTTTAATAGGTTAGTGTAAATAATCAATTAATCAGGCTACACATCAAGCTATACATAACCAGTTTGTCTTGGCCTCGCTTT